TATGTATGTAATGTATGTATGTATGTATGTATGTATGTATGTATGTATGTATGTATGTATGTATGTATGTACTGTATGTATGTATGTATGTATGTATGTATGTATGTATGTATGTATGTATGTATGTATGTATGTATGTAATGTATTATGTATGTAAGTAATGTATGTATGTATGTATGTATGTATGTATGTATGTATGTATGTATGTATGTATGTATGTATGTATGTATGTATGTATGTATGTATGTAAGTAAGTATGTATGTATGTATGTATGTATGTATGTATGTATGTATGTATGTATGTATGTATGTATGTAATGTATGTACGTAATGTATGTAATGTATGTATGTATGTATGTATGTATGTATGTATGTATGTATGTAATGTATGTATGTATGTATGTAATGTATGTATGTATGTATGTAATTGTATGTATGTATGTATGTATGTATGTATGTATGTATGTATGTATGTATGTATGTATGTATGTATGTATGTATGTATGTATGTATGTATGTAATGTATGTATGTATGTATGTATGTATGTATGTATGTATGTATGTATGTATGTATGTATGTATGTATGTAAGTAATGTATATATGTATGTATGTATGTATGTATGTTTGTATGTATGTATGTATGTATGTAATGTATGTATGTATGTATGTATGTATGTATGTATGTATGTATGTATGTATGTATGTATGTATGTATGTATGTATGTGTGTAATGTATGTAATGTATGTATGTATGTATGTATGTATGTATGTATGTATGTATGTATGTATGTATGTATGTATGTATGTATGTATGTAATTTATGTAATGTATGTAATGTATGTATGTATGTATGTATGTAATGTAATGTAATGTAATGTAATGTAATGTAATGTAATGTAATGTAATGTAATGTAATGTAAATGTAATGTAATGTAATGTAATGTAATGTAATGTAATGTAATGTAATGTAATGTAATGTAAAGTAATGTAATGTAATGTAATGTAATGTAATGTAATGTAATGTAACGTATGTATGTAATGTATGTATGTATGTATGTATGTATGTATGTATGTATGTATGTATGTATGTATGTATGTATGTATGTATGTATGTATGTATGTATGTATGTATGTATGTATGTATGTATGTATGTATTATGTATGTATGTAACGTATGTATGTATGTATGTATGTATGTATGTATGTATGTATGTATGTATGTATGTATGTATGTATGTATGTATGTATGTATGTATGTAATGTAAGTATGTATGTATGTATGTATGTATGTATGTATGTAATGTATGTATGTATGTATGTATGTATGTATGTATGTATGTATGTAATGTATGTATGTATGTATGTATGTAACAATGTATGTATGTATGTTTGTATGTATGTATGCATGCATGCATGCATGTATGTATGTATGTATGTAACGTATGTAATGTAATGTAATGTATGTATGTAATGTTATGTAATGTAATGTTATGTAATGTAATGTATGTACGTACGTATGTATGTATGTATTTTCCAAACCATACCAAGGGTTGGAAAGATAGGGATCATAGTACGACAGTTTTAGTTGTAAGCGAGCAGTTTTTTCGTTTTTTTTGCCAATCCACTTGATCGGAAGTGAGTACCTGGTGTCTCCTTGCCGAGGTTTTGCACTCCGCAGTGCAAGCTTGTGGCCTCCCTGCCTCCCTCTCCAACAAGTGGAGCAAGGAAACCAACACCAAATTGGGGGTCTCAAAAATCGGGGCCTCTGCGCATCAGATGTCTTTGATTCAGGTCTACTTGCCTTGTAGAGTGCCCTGTGGGGGGGGGTTCCCAGGTTGAGCCCTTAGGCCCCAAAGGAACAGCAGCAGGAGGCTCTTTCAGGTGGCCCAAGCCCCGAAATGGATTTTCCCTAGCCAAACTCAAAAAGACACCTAAAATGAGGACCGCTAAAACTGGGTTGTTTCTTTTTGGTCTCCCTCAAAGCCAAACCCCAAGGGTGAAGGCCAAAAACAAGGACCTCGAAGCATAAATTGTTTCCTTTCTGTCTCCCTTCAAACTAAACAGCCAAACGTCGTATCAGTGCAAGCCGCAGTGCCATGTGGAGCACATGGCGACTGAAGCTGCGTCATGGTGTGCCTGTCATGGCGACGCGGTGTACTGTATCTCGCCGTTGCTCTGACTGAACACAGCTTGCTTGCGAAAAGCCTGCAGATGGACAGACCCGAGCAAATTACAATTTCTGATCAGATCGTGTTGCAATAGCATGGAACTAGCGAGAGACACTGCATCCAGCTGAAGCAATGGCGCGCCCTGCGAACCACCCCAAGATGACGGCGGCCAACTACCAGGCAGCTTTGGTTGCCGGGCAGGGATACTTAAACCAGCGGCCACTGGACCATCCTAATTCTACCCAAGCTCGGGCCAGTTCCTCCTGATTTACCTTGCGGAGATCCATTCGGTGGGGCTGAACCTGTGTGAGCAGCCAAAACGAGTCGTGTGATATCAAACTGTGTGAAAGCAAAAGCTCCACGGGCGAAAGGTGGCGTAGGCTGCAAGACTGATACGACATAGCGAGTCATTGTTTGGGAAGACCGTGTTAGTGGTAAATTTTGAATACAACAGTTTGGTTGCTTTTCTTGGGCCATCCGCTCGTGAGGGACACCTCTAGGGCTCACATGGCTCACGAGGACTGCCGAAAAGGGGAGCTGATGCTGAGCGTCCAGGAAGCCGAGGCCACTTTGAAAGCCTTGCGGGACCTGGGCTTCACGGTGAAATGGGCACTCCAGGACCGCGGGCCGATTTTTGTTGGGTGTGTCTTGCTTTTTTTTGGCAGTGTGGATCTTTCACTAAGAAGCGTATGCTTCTTGAGTTGTCTGTCCATTTTGACGAAGCTTGCTATATGTCTCAGGTCAATGTTCCTGACCAATCCGGACCGTCGTGTATTCAGATTTGAGGTATGCGCATACCACTTTGCAAAAGCAATGATCAGCTTTTCATCCCCCTTCCCACTTTGCAGCAAACAGCGATGAGATCGGAAACCCCGAAAGTCCAAAGATTTGAAGATCATTCGAAAGCAGCCTGCCAAAGCGTGTGAAGTTCCTGACGATGAAACCGAGGTGCCTACTGCATGACCAGAGTTTTGCATTGCGAGCGTATCTCGAGTCAGCCACGGCCGGCCGACCAGCCGGCCGCGGCCTGCCGGCCGATCAGCCAGCCAGCTGGCCAGCCGGTCAGCCAGGCCGGCTGGTCAGCCAGCCGGCCGGTCAGCCAGCCACGGTCGGCCGGCAACATGTAGAATTTGCATCCATCGGCCAGCCGGCCGCGGCTGGTTGTTCCGTATGATCAAATCTGTCTCATTGCTGCCGCCTCCGGCCGTGGCCGGCCGGCAGGTCAGCCATGGCCGGCCGGCCGATCAGCCAGCCGTGGCCGGCCGACCGGTCAGCAGCCAGCCGGCCGGCCGGTCGCCAGCCATGGCCGGCCAGCTGGTCAGCCAGCCGTCTGGCCAGCCAGTCAGCCAGATGGCCGGCCAGCTGGTGCAGCCGTGGCCGTCCGGCCAGTCAGCCAGCCGAGGATATAATTTTGGCCATTAAACAGCCGCCGCCTGGAAAGAACAGTAGTTTCAACCGGTCCAAGTTCATTTTGTCGCGGTTCGGTAGGTTCCGCATGCTTCCAGCCGATCAGCAGACACTGCAGGTGCTTGCTTTTCTTATACCATTTAACGTCGTATTTTTGCTTATCGCTGGGCACTCTGGGACTTTCCAGGATGTGTTTGAGATTGTGCCAGAGTTGGGGGGGTTGTTTGAGCATTCACTTGACCACAGGCGCAACACCCACACTTCTTGATAATCTACTTACGTCCGAGATGCTTAGGGGGTTTTCAATCCTTGGTACCACTCCTTTCAATCCTAGCCGTTCCCCTGGTCCCAATGCTTCCCCGGGCACCCGGGAGCAGACTCCGTTTTAAGCCCAGCCCTTTTCTCGAGGAGGCCCCGGCCGCCTGCGTTTCGAGGGAGGCGGCTAAGTCGAAAAGCGAAAGGCAGAAGGCGAGGGTCCATGACTTCCATTCAAGCCCCTGCCTTCACTGAAGACGCCTGTGGCTCAAAGAACAGTACCAAAAATGGAACCCAGGTAAATGGAACCAAAGAACAAAACCTGCGTACCCCAGCTGTTTCATTTTGAGCCACACCCACATGGTCCAGAATCAAGCCTCCCATGTTCAGTTGGACAAGTCGAGGTACGCAGCTGCAACTCAGTTTCCTGGAATTGGGACCCGAGACCATTCGCGTAACTTATGACATCCCGGAAGAGCTGTCTCTTTGATTTCAGACAGGTCCTTCGTTTTGACACGGAGGTTGTTAAGCGGTCTATGTCAGAAGACACATTGGTGCTGTGACCGTTGATATGTATAAGACAACATGTTTGGTTGGACTGAAGGCTTTTTGCTGTCACACAAATTCAGAACAAACGGAGCATGACATGCCATTTTGAGTCACTTGTTTGCACCGTGAAACAAAGGAGACCAAGCTTAAAATCAAACCACAAGGGCAAAACATTGATATTGGGTCCTGTTGCTTTCCTTTTCCAGCCGACTCAGACTTAAGGGGTCAATGAGAGCAACCTCGAGAGGCCGAAGATGCCAAAGATGCCAAAGAAGCCAGAAAAGCGGCGAAAGGAAAAGCCAAGGCTTGCGACTTTGACGTCTTGTGCCGCCTCAGAAGGGTGTGTAACGCGCAGAGACGCCTTTGTTTTCCGTGGATTCAAAGGCTGGTTGTTCAAACTTAATGCCCTAGCTTGTTCCTTGTGCCAGACGGTGGTTTCCCTTGTTGCGTTGTCCCAATACGCACTACGGATTAGGGGGGTTCGGTTTCGATGAACCATTTGTAGAGACGCTCGCTTTATTTTCTAAACGGCGCCATGCCGGCGCTTGGGTATGTAGGGGCACCCCCTGTCGTGCACTTAGAACAAACGGAACATGACATGCCAATTGGAGTTCAGTAACTATGTGTCCGCTCGCCGTGAGGCGAAGGAGACCATTGCCAGCAAAGCAGAGGCAGGGCTTAAAATCAAGACGTCACAAGAAAGCTCCCTTTGCACATCCCTGCGCAACCCTGGGTTCGTTCTGTTGCACAAGTTTGTTTGCGCAAGATATGCAAGTTTCTCTGTGCTTCTCTGCAAGTGGGTCTGCGCAAGCTCTCTTTGCAAGTGTGCAACTTCTCTCCGCGAGCGATTCTCTCTCCGCAAATTCTCTCTGCGAGTTTGTCTGCGCAAGGTTTCCAATGTTCCCTGCGCAGGGCTCTCTGCCTGCAAGGGTCGTTGGGAGCAAAGGCCAAGGAGGCCAAAGAGGCCACGCGCCGCCTTTGAAGGGCCCAGAAAGCATAAGAATCCGATTGACAACACGTGCTTAGGCTTCAGGTTGGGATTTTTGGTCATTTTCAGGCTGCCATCCCCGCAATTTCCCGAATCCGAATCCCACAACTTAACGATTTGGGATCAGTTTCACAAAAGCCCTTCCTCCTTTTCAGCGGCTGGACCCCAACGCGGTGACTGTCGCAACAGAGCACGAGACGCCAGTCCAACAATCAGGTGTCCGTTTTATTTTCGCCCTGAGGCGAAGGAGACGATTGCCGACAAAGCAAAGGCAGGGTGTGGTGCCAGGCAGTGAAGCTCTTTTCTTTTGCCCACCCGCCCACCCTGTGACACATTCACTGTTTGTATTTGGGCCACATTGGGCTGTTCTTGTGGATGAGCTGGCCAGGCAGCTATGTGCCACACTCTGCCTGGCTGGCTGTTGTGGAGAGTGATAGACTCAAACCTGCCTAACCCCAGCTGTTTAATTTTGAGCCACACCCATATGGTCCAGAATCAAGCTTGCCATTTTCATTTGGGCGGCACAAGTCGAGGCACGCAGGCTGCAATTCAGTTTCCTGGATTTGGGGACCCGAGACCATGTGCGGGTTCATGTCGATTGCCTTTCTCACAAGTCTCCACGAGGGGTTCCAAGAATTTAGGACATCTCCCCATGTGTCAACACAGAAGAGCTGTCTCTTTGGTTTCAGACAGGTCCTTCGATGTGAGACGGAGCTTGTTAAGCGATCTATGTCATAAGAAACATTTTGCTGTGATCGTCCATATGCATAACACAACATGTTGGTTGGACTGAAGGCGTTTTGCTGTCATACAATTCAGAACAAACGGAGCATGCCATGCCATTTGGAGTGTCACTTTTTTGCGCCGTGAGACAGAAGGCTTAAAATCAAACCACAAAGGCAAAACATTGATATTGGGTACTGTTGCTTTCCTTTTCCAGCTGACTCAGACTTAAGGGGTCGACGAGAGCAACCTCGAGAGGCCGAAGATGCAAAAGATGCCAAAGAAGCCAGAAAAGCGGCGAAAGGAAAAGCCAAGGCTTGCGACTTTGACGTCTTGTGCCGCCTCAGAAGGGTGTGTAACGCGCAGAGACGCCTTTGTTTTCCGTGGATTCAAAGGCTGGTTGTTCAAACTTAACGCCCTAGCTTGTTCCTTGTGCCAGACGGTGGTTTCCCTACTACGGATTAGGGGGGTTCGGTTTCGATGAACCATTTGTAGAGACGCTCGCTTTATTTTCTAAACGGCGCCCTGCCGGCGCTTGGGTATGTAGGGGGACCCCCTGTCGTGCACTTAGAACAAACGGAACATGCCAATTGGAGTTCAGTAACTATGTGTCCGCTCGCCGTGAGGCGAAGGAGACCATTGCCAGCAAAGCAGAGGCAGGGCTTAAAATCAAGACGTCGCAAGAAAGCTACCTTTGCACATCCCTGCGCAACCCTGGGTTGGTTCCGTTGCACAAGTTTGTTTGCGCAAGATATGCAAGTTTCTCTGTGCTTCTCTGCAAGTGGGTCTGCGCAAGCTCTTTTTGCAAGTGTGCAACTTCTCTCCGCGAGCGATTCTCTCTCCGCAAATTCTCTCTGCGAGTTTGTCTGCGCAAGGTTTCCAATGTTCCCTGCGCAGGGCTCTCTGCCTGCAAGGGTCGTTGGGAGCAAAGGCCAAGGAGGCCAAAGAGGCTACGCGCCGCCTTTGAAGGGCCCAGAAAGCATAAGAATCCGATTGACAACACGTGCTTAGGCTTCAGGTTGGGATTATTGGTCATTTTCAGGCTGCCATCCCGGCAATTTCCCGAATCCGTCGTTCAAACTTAGTCCATCTTAGTCCTAGGCTGCTCCTTGTGCCCGCTGGTGGTTTCCCTGGCTGCAGCATCCCACAACTTAACGATCAGGGATCAGTTTCACAAAAACCCTTCCTCCTTTTCAGCGGCTGGACCCCAACGCGGTGACTGTCGCAACAGAGCACGAGACGCCAGTCCAACAATCAGGTGTCCGTTTTATTTTCGCCCTGAGGCGAAGGAGACGATTGCCGACAAAGCAAAGGCAGGGTGTGGTGCCAAGCAGTGAAGCTTTTTTTTGCCCACCCGCCCACCCTGTGACACTTTGATTGTTTGTATTTGGGCCACATTGGGCTGTTCTTGTGGATGAGCTGGCCAGGCAGCTATGTGCCACACTCTGCCTGGCTGGCTGTTGTGGCAACTAGCATTCTGTGAAAATGAGGGTGGGGAAGAGTGATAGACTAAAACCTGCCTAACCCCAGCTATTTAATTTTGAGCCACACCCATATGGTCCAGAATCAAGCTTGCCATTTTCATTTGGGCGGCACAAGTCGAGGCACGCAGGCTGCAGTTCAGTTTCCTGGATTTGGGGACCCGAGACCATGTGCGGGTTCATGTCGATTGCCTTCCTCACAAGTCTCCACGAGGGGTTCCAAGAATTTCGAACATCCCATGTGTCAACACAGAAGAGCTGTCTCTTTGGTTTCAGACAGGTCCTTCGATGCGAGACGGAGCTTGTTACGCGATCTATGTCATAAGAAGCATTTTGCTGTGATACTTGATATGCATAAGACAACATGTTTGGTTGGACTGAAGGCGTTTTGCTGTTCATACGCAGCATGCCATGCCTTTTGGAGTGTCATTTGTTTGCGCCGTGAGACGAAGGAGAGAAAGCTTAAAATCAAGACCAAGCCACAAGGGCAAAACATTGATGTTGGGTCCTGTTGCGAGGCCAAAGATGCCAAGGATGCTAAGGAAGCCAGAAAAGCGGCGAAGGGAAAAGCCAAGGCTTGCGACTTTGACGTCTTGTGCCGCCTCAGAAGGGTGTGTAACGCGCAGAGACGCCTTTGTTTTCCGTGGATTCAAAGGCCGGTTGTTCAAACTTAACGCCCTAGCTTGTTCCTTGTGCCAGACGGTGGTTTCCCTACTACGGATTAGGGGGGTTCGGTTTCGATGAACCATTTGTAGAGACGCTCGCTTTATTTTCTAAACGGCGCCCTGCCGGCGCTTGGGTATGTAGGGGGACCCCCTGTCGTGCACTTAGAACAAACGGAACATGACATGCCAATTGGAGTTCAGTATCTATGTGTCCGCTCGCCGTGAGGCGAAGGAGACGATTGCCAGCAAAGCAGAGGCAGGGCTTAAAATCAAGACGTCGCAAGAAAGCTACCTTTGCACATCCCTGCGCAACCCTGGGTTGGTTCCGTTGCACAAGTTTGTTTGCGCAAGATATGCAAGTTTCTCTGTGCTTCTCTGCAAGTGGGTCTGCGCAAGCTCTCTTTGCAAGTGTGCAACTTCTCTCCGCGAGGGATTTTCTCTCCGCAAATTCTCTCTGCGAGTTTGTCTGCGCAAGGCCTGCGAGTCTGTCTGTGCAAGTTCTCGAAACAAGCATCTTTGCCAGAGCTCTCTGCCTGCAAGGGTCGATGGGAAAGGCCAAGGAGGCCAAAGAGGCCAAGCGCCGCCAATGAAGGGCCCAGAAAGCATAAGAATCCGATTGACGTGCTTAGGCTTCAGGTTGGGATTTTTGGTCATTTTCAGGCTGCCATCCCCGGCAATTTCCCGAATCCGAAGGCTGGGTCGTCTAGACTTAGTCCGTCTTAGTCCTAGGTTACTCCTTGTGCCCGCTGGTGGTTTCCCTTGCTGCAGCATCCCACAACTTAACGATTTGGGATCAGTTTCAGAAAAAACCTTCCTGGTTGAACAAAAAGGAACCACACCCAATTCTACCTTTTCAGCGGCTGGATCCCCAACCTGGTGACTGTCGCAACAGAGCACAAGACGCCAGTTTAAAGTCAACAATCCAACAATCAGGTGTCCGTTTTTTTCGCCCTGAGGCGAAGGAGACGATTGCCGACAAAGCAAAGGCAGGGTGTGGTGCCAAGCAGTGAAGCGTTTTTTTGGCCCACCCGCCCACCCTGTGACACTTTCATTGTTTGTATTTGGGCCACATTGGGCTGTTCTTGTGGATGAGCTGGCCAGGCAGCTATGTGCCACACTCTGCCTGGCTGGCTGTTGTGGCAACTAGCATTCTGTGAAAATGAGGGTGGGGAAGAGTGATAGACTAAAACCTGCCTAACCCCAGCTATTTAATTTTGAGCCACACCCATATGGTCCAGAATCAAGCTTGCCATTTTCATTTGGGCGGCACAAGTCGAGGCACGCAGGCTGCAGTTCAGTTTCCTGGATTTGGGGACCCGAGACCATGTGCGGGTTCATGTCGATTGCCTTCCTCACAAGTCTCCACGAGGGGTTCCAAGAATTTAGGACATCTCCCCATGTGTCAACACAGAAGAGCTGTCTCTTTGGTTTCAGTCAGGTCCTTCGATGTGAGACGGAGCTTGTTAAGCGATCTATGTCATAAGAAACATTTTGCTGTGATACTTGATATGCATAAGACAACATGTTTGGTTGGACTGAAGGTGTTTTCCTGTCATACGCAGCATGCCATGCCATTTGGAGTGTCACTTGTTTGCACCGTGAATCGAAGGAGACCAAGCTTAAGATCAAACCACAAAGGCAAAACATTGATGTTGGGTCCTGTTGCAAGGCCAAAGATGCCAAGGATGCTAAGGAAGCCAGAAAAGCGGCGAAAGGAAAAGCCAAGGCTTGCGACTTTGACGTCTTGTGCCGCCTCAGAAGGGTGTGTAACGCGCAGAGACGCCTTTGTTTTCCGTGGATTCAAAGGCTGGTTGTTCAAACTTAATGGCCTAGCTTGTTCCTTGTGCCAGACGCTGGTTTCCCTTGTTGTGTTGTCCCAATACGCACTACGGATTAGGGGGGTTCGGTTTCGATGAACCATTTGTAGAGACGCTCGCTTTATTTTCTAAACGGCGCCATGCCGGCGCTTGGGTATGTAGGGGCACCCCGTGTCGTGCACTTACAACAAACGGAACATGCCAATTGGAGTTCAGTAACTATGTGTCCGCTCGCCGTGAGGCGAAGGAGACCATTGCCAGCAAAGCAGAGGCAGGGCTTAAAATCAAGACGTCACAAGAAAGCTCCCTTTGCACATCCCTGCGCAACCCTGGGTTCGTTCTGTTGCACAAGTTTGTTTGCGCAAGATATGCAAGTTTCTCTGTGCTTCTCTGCAAGTGGGTCTGCGCAAGCTCTCTTTGCAAGTGTGCAACTTCTCTCCGAGCGATTTTCTCTCCGCAAATTCTCTCTGCGAGTTTGTTTGCGCGCCTCCAAAGTCTAGAAAGGATAAGGATCCGATTGACAACACGTGTAGTGAGCGCAATCGCTTAGGGGATTATTGGTCATTTTCAGGTTGCCATCCCCGCAATTTCCCGAATCCGAAGGCTGGGTCGTCTAGACTTAGTCCGTCTTAGTCCTAGGTTACTCCTTGTGCCCGCTGGTGGTTTCCCTTGCTGCAGCATCCCACAACTTAACGATTTGGGATCAGTTTCAGAAAAAACCTTCCTGGTTGAACAAAAAGGAACCACACCCAATTCTATCTTTTCAGCGGCTGGATCCCCAACCTGGTGACTCTCGCAACAGAGCACAAGACGCCAGTTGGAAGTCAAGAATCCAACAATCAGGTGTCCGTTTTTTTCGCCCTGAGGAGAAGGAGACGATTGCCGACAAAGCAAAGGCAGGGTGTGGTGCCAAGCACTGAAGCATTTTTTTGCCCACCCGCCCACCCTGTGACACATGCATTGTTTGTATTTGGGCCACATTGGGCTGTTCTTGTGGATGAGCTGGCCAGGCAGCTATGTGCCCCACACTGCCTGGCCGGCTGTTGTGGCAACTAGCATTCTGTGAAAATGAGGGTGGGGAAGAGTGATAGACTAAACCCTGCCTAACCCCAGCTATTCAATTTTGAGCCACACCCATATGGTCCAGAATCAAGCTTGCCATTTTCATTTGGGCGGTACAAGTCGAGGCACGCAGGCTGCAATTCAGTTTCCTGGATTTGGGGACCCGAGACCAGATGTGCGGGTTCATGTCGATTGCCCTTCTCACAAGTCTCCACGAGGGGTTGCAAGAATTTAGGACATCTCCCGATGTGTCAACACAGAGGAGCTGTCTCTTTGGTTTCAGACAGGTCCTTCAATGCGAGACGGAGCTTGTTAAGCGATCTAAGAAACATTTTGCTGTGACCGTTGATATGCACAAGACAACACGCCTGGGTGGACTGAAGGCTGTTTGCTGTCATACAATTCAGAACAAATGGAGCATGCCATGCCATTTGGAGTGTCACTTGTTTGCGCCGTGAGACAGAAGGCTTAAAATCAAACCACAAAGGCAAAACATTGATATTGGGTACTGTTGCTTTCCTTTTCCAGCTGACTCAGACTTAAGGGGTCGACGAGAGCAACCTCGAGAGGCCGAAGATGCCAAAGATGCCAAAGAAGCCAGAGAAGCCGCGAAAGGAAAAGCGAAGGCTTGCGACTTTGACGTCTTGTGCCGCCTCAGAAGGGTGTGTAACGCGCAGAGACGCCTTTGTTTTCCGTGGATTCAAAGGCTGGTTGTTCAAACTTAACGCCCTGGCTTGTTCCTTGTGCCAGACGGTGGTTTCCCTACTACGGATTAGGGGGGTTCGGTTTCGATGAACCATTTGTAGAGACGCCCGCTTTATTTTCTAAACGGCGCCCTGCCGGCGCTTGGGTATGTAGTCGTGCACTTAGAACAAACGGAACATGCCAATTGGAGTTCAGTAACTATGTGTCCGCTCGCCGTTAGGCGAAGGAGATCATTGCCAGCAAAGCAGAGGCAGGGCTTAAAATCAAGACGTCACAAGAAAGCTACCTTTGCACATCCCTGCGCAACCCTGGGTCGGTTCTGTTGCACAAGTTTGCTTGCGCAAGATATGCAAGTTTCTCTGTGCTTCTCTGCAAGTGGGTCTGCGCAAGCTCTCTTTGCAAATGTGCAACTTCTCTCCGCGAGTGATTTTCTCTCCGCAAATTCTCTCTGCGAGTTTGTCTGCGCGCCTCCAAAGTCTAGAAAGGATAAGGATCCGATTGACAACACGTGTAGTGAGCGCAATCGCTTAGGGGATTATTGGTCATTTTCAGGTTGCCATCCCCGCAATTTCCCGAGGTGGCTTCCCTTGTTGCAGCATCCCACAACTTAACGATTAGGGATCAGTTTCAGACCCCAATGTGGTGACTGTCGCAACAGAGCACGAGACGCCAGTTGGAGCTCAACAATCCAACCATCAGGTGTCCGTTTTTGTTTTGTTTTTCGCCCTGAGGCGAAGGAAACGATTGCCGACAAAGCAAAGGCAGGGTGTGGTGCCACGCAGTGACGCTTGTTTTTTTGCCCACCCGCCCACCCTGTGACACATTTATTGTTTGTATTTGGGCCACATTGGGCTGTTCTTGTGGATGAGCTGGCCAGGCAGCTATGTGCCACACTCTGCCTGGCTGGCTGTTGTGGCAACTATAGTATCGGGCTAGCAGATAGAATATAATTTTCTCCGTCGGCTCCTGACTTAGAATATAATTAACTCCGAAAATCTCCGAAAAACATCAGTTAGAATATTTAGGAGGACATGTGACACTTAGAATAATTCACATTTGCGCAAATCCTTGAAATTTGAACACCCTTTCAGGTGGCCAGCAGATAGAATATGCTTTGACAGATAGAATATTTCAGCAAGCTGGGTCACAAGGCAATTTCAAACATATTGACCAATTGATGGTGTCGAAACGTTTGATGGCATCGAGCCGCGCAGATGCATGGGGTTGCGCAGATGCATGGGGTCATGCATTCCTTTGGCAAATGTGTGTGTCTTTCTTTGGGGGACCCCTCAAAACGGTTGGTTTCCGGTTGGTTTCCGTTTGGTTTCCGTTTGGTTTTGCATATACCCTTGAAAGAGAAACGGACCCAAATGGAAAATCATGGGACCCACATGGTTTCCTGAAAGCCGCATATAGAAATATCTGGCAACGGGCTAGCAGCTAGGACATTTATCGCAGAGTAGTTGTTCATAACAGAAACCCTTATTTTGAAATATTCTATCTGGTCTGGTTGATTTAATCGAACTGTCATTTTTTCGATGTGTTCTAACTGTATGTTTTTGTTAGACTTTTGAAATGTGCATTTTCATTTACTCTAACAAATATATTCTATCTGCTAGCCCGATACTATAGCATTCTGGGAAAATGAGGGTGGGGAAGAGTGATAGACTAAAACCTGCCTAACCCCAGCTATTTAATTTTGAGCCACACCCATATGGTCCAGAATCAAGCTTGCCATTTTCATTTGGGCGGCACAAGTCAAGGCACGCAGGCTGCAATTCAGTTTCCTGGATTTGGGGACCCGAGACCATGTGCGGATTCATGTCGATTGCCTTTCTCACAAGTCTCCACGAGGGGTTCCAAGAATTTAGGACATCTCCCCATGTGTCAACACAGAAGAGCTGTCTCTTTGGTTTCAGACAGGTCCTTCAATGCGAGACGGAGCTTGTTAAGCGATCTATGTCACAAGAAACATGTTGCTGGGATCGTTGATATGCATAAGACAACATTTTGGTTGGACTGAAGGCGTTTTGCTGTCATACAATTCAGAACAAACGGAGCATGCCATGCCATTTGGAGTGTCACTTGTTTGCACCGTGAAACAAAGGAGACCAAGCTTAAAATCAAACCACAAAGGCAAAACATTGATATTGGGTCCTGTTGCTTTCCTTTTCCCTTAAGGGGTCGATGAGGGCACCCTCGCGAGGCCAAAGATGCCAAAGATGCGAAGGAAGCCAGAGAAGCGGCGAAAGGAAAAGCCAAGGCTTGCGACTTTGGCGTGTTGCGCCGCCTTAGAAGGGTGTGTAACGCGTAGAGACGCCTTTGTTTTTCGTGGATTCAAAGGCTGGTTGTTCAAACTTAATGCCGCTTAATGCCCTGGCTGGTTCCTTGTGCCAGACGGTGGTTTCCCTTGTTGTGTTGTCCCAATACGCACTACGGATTAGGGAGGTTTGGTTTCGATGAACCGAAACGCAGACTAGCCCTGGTACAGCATTGCTGTATTTTCGAAACGGCGCCATGCCGGCGCTTGGGTATGTAGGGGCACCCCCTGTCGTGCACTTAGAACAAGCGGAACATGACATGCCTATCGAAGTTCAGTAACTATGTGTCCGCTCGCCGTGAGGCGAAGGAGACCATTGCCAGCAAAGCAGAGGCAGGGCTTAAAATCAAGACGTCACAAGAAAGCTACCTTTGCACATCCCTGAGCAACCCTGGGTTGGTTCCGTTGCACAAGTTTGTTTGCGCAAGATATGCAAGTTTCTCTGTGCTTCTCTGCAAGTGGGTTTGCGCAAGCTCTCTTTGCAAGTGTGCAACTTCTCTCCGAGCGATTTTCTCTCCGCAAATTCTCTCTGCGAGTTTGTCTGCGCAAGGCCTGCGAGTCTGTCTGTGCAAGTTCTCGAAACAAGCATCTTTGCCAGAGCTCTCTGCCTGCAAGGGTCGATGGGAAAGGCCAAGGAGGCCAAAGAGGCCAAGCGCCGCCAATGAAGGGCCCAGAAAGCATAAGAATCCGATTGACGTGCTTAGGCTTCAGGTTGGGATTTTTGGTCATTTTCAGGCTGCCATCCCCGGCAATTTCCCGAATCCGAAGGCTGGGTCGTCTAGACTTAGTCCGTCTTAGTCCTAGGTTACTCCTTGTTCCCCGCTGGTGGTTTCCCTTGCTGCAGCATCCCACAACTTAACGATCAGGAATCAGTTTCAGAAAAACCTTCCTGGTTGAACAAAAAGGAACCACACCCAATTCTACCTTTTCAGCGGCTGGATCCCCAACCTGGTGACTCTCGCAACAGAGCACAAGACGCCAGTTGGAAGTCAAGAATCCAACAATCAGGTGTCCGTTTTTTTCGCCCTGAGGAGAAGGAGACGATTGCCGACAAAGCAAAGGCAGGGTGTGGTGCCAAGCACTGAAGCATTTTTTTGCCCACCCGCCCACCCTGTGACACATGCATTGTTTGTATTTGGGCCACATTGGGCTGTTCTTGTGGATGAGCTGGCCAGGCAGCTATGTGCCACACTCTGCCTGGCTGGCTGTTGTGGCAACTAGCATTCTGAGAAAATGAGGGTGGGAAAGAGTGATAGACTAAAACCTGCCTAACCCCAGCTATTTAATTTTGAGCCACACCCATATGGTCCAGAATCAAGCTTGCCATTTTCATTTGGGCGGTACAAGTCGAGGCACGCAGGCTGCAATTCAGTTTCCTGGATTTGGGGACCCGAGACCATGTGCGGGTTCATGTCAAGTCTCCACGAGGGGTTCCAAGAATTTAGGACATCTCCCGATGTGTCAACACAGAGGAGCTGTCTCTTTGGTTTCAGACAGGTCCTTCAATGCGAGACGGAGCTTGTTAAGCGATCTAAGAAACATCTTGCTGTGACCGTTGATATGCACAAGACAACACGCCTGGGTGGACTGAAGGCTGTTTGCTGTCATACAACTCAGAACAAATGGAGCATGCCATGCCATTTGGAGTGTCACTTGTTTGCGCCGTGAGACAGAAGGCTTAAAATCAAACCACAAAGGCAAAACATTGATATTGGGTACTGTTGCTTTCCTTTTCCAGCTGACTCAGACTTAAGGGGTCGACGAGAGCAACCTCGAGAGGCCGAAGATGCCAAAGATGCGAAGGAAGCCAGAGAAGCCGCGAAAGGAAAAGCGAAGGCTTGCGACTTTGACGTCTTGTGCCGCCTCAGAAGGGTGTGTAACGCGCAGAGACGCCTTTGTTTTCCGTGGATTCAAAGGCTGGTTGTTCAAACTTAACGCCCTAGCTTGTTCCTTGTGCCAGACGGTGGTTTCCCTACTACGGATTAGGGGGGTTCGGTTTCGATGAACCATTTGTAGAGACGCTCGCTTTATTTTCTAAACGGCGCCATGCCGGCGCTTGGGTATGTAGGGGCACCCCCTGCCGTGCACTTAGAACAAACGGAACATGACATGCCTATCGAAGTTCAGTAACTATGTGTCCGCTTGCCGTGAGGCGAAGGAGACCATTGCCAGCAAAGCAGAGGCAGGGCTTAAAATCAAGACGTCACAAGAAAGCTACCTTTGCACATCCCTGCGCAACCCTGGGTTGGTTCTGTTGCACAAGTTTGTTTGCGCAAGATATGCAAGTTTCTCTGTGCTTCTCTGCAAGTGGGTCTGCGCAAGCTCTCTTTGCAAATGTGCAACTTCTCTCCGCGAGTGATTTTCTCTCCGCAAATTCTCTCTGCGAGTTTGTCTGCGCGCCTCCAAAGTCTAGAAAGGATAAGGATCCGATTGACAACACGTGTAGTGAGCGCAATCGCTTAGGGGATTATTGGTCATTTTCAGGTTGCCATCCCCGCAATTTCCCGAGGTGGCTTCCCTTGTTGCAGCATCCCACAACTTAACGATTAGGGATCAGTTTCGGACCCCAATGTGGTGACTGTCGCAACAGAGCACGAGACGCCAGTTGGAACTCAACAATCCAACAATCAGGTGTCCGTTTTTGTTTTGTTTTTCGCCCTGAGGCGAAGGAAACGATTGCCGACAAAGCAAAGGCAGGGTGTGGTGCCACGCAGTGACGCTTGTTTTTTTTCCCACCCGCCCACCCTGTGACACATTTATTGTTTGTATTTGGGCCACATTGGGCTGTTCTTGTGGATGAGCTGGCCAGGCAGCTATGTGCCACACTCTGCCTGGCTGGCTGTTGTGGCAACTATAGTATCGGGCTAGCAGATAGAATATAATTTTCTCCGTCGGCTCCTGACTTAGAATATAATTAACTCCGAAAATCTCCGAAAAACATCAGTTAGAATATTTAGGAGGACATGTGACACTTAGAATAATTCACATTTGCGCAAATCCTTGAAATTTGAACACCCTTTCAGGTGGCCAGCAGATAGAATATGCTTTGACAGATAGAATATTTCAGCAAGCTGGGTCACAAGGCAATTTCAAACATATTGACCAATTGATGGTGTCGAAACGTTTGATGGCATCGAGCCGCGCAGATGCATGGGGTTGCGCAGATGCATGGGGTCATGCATTCCTTTGGCAAATGTGTGTGTCTTTCTTTCGGGGACCCCTCAAAACGGTTGGTTTCCGTTTGGTTTTGCATATACCCTTGAAAGAGAAACGGACCCAAATGGAAAATCATGGGACCCACATGGTTTCCTGAAAGCCGCATGTAGAAATATCTAGCAACGGGCTAGCAGCTAGGACATTTATCGCAGAGTAGTTGTTCATAACAGAAACCCTTATTTTGAAATATTCTATCTGGTCTGGTTGATTTAATCGAACTGTCATTTGTTCGATGTGTTCTAACTGTATGTTTTTGTTAGACTTTTGAAATGTGCATTTTAATTTACTCTAACAAATATATTCTATCTGCTAGCCCGATACTATAGCATTCTGGGAAAATGAGGGTGGGGAAGAGTGATAGACTAAAACCTGCCTAACCCCAGCTATTTAATTTTGAGCCACACCCATATGGTCCAGAATCAAGCTTGCCATTTTCATTTGGGCGGCACAAGTCAAGGCACGCAGGCTGCAATTCAGTTTCCTGGATTTGGGGACCCGAGACCATGTGCGGATTCATGTCGATTGCCTTTCTCACAAGTCTCCACGAGGGGTTCCAAGAATTTAGGACATCTCCCCATGTGTCAACACAGAAGAGCTGTCTCTTTGGTTTCAGACAGGTCCTTCAATGCGAGACGGAGCTTGTTAAGCGATCTATGTCACAAGAAACATGTTGCTGGGATCGTTGATATGCATAAGACAACATTTTGGTTGGACTGAAGGCGTTTTGCTGTCATACAATTCAGAACAAACGGAGCATGCCATGCCATTTGGAGTGTCACTTGTTTGCACCGTGAAACAAAGGAGACCAAGCTTAAAATCAAACCACAAAGGCAAAACATTGATATTGGGTCCTGTTGCTTTCCTTTTCCAGCTGACTCAGACTTAAGGGGTCGATGAGGGCACCCTCGCGAGGCCAAAGATGCCAAAGATGCGAAGGAAGCCAGAGAAGCGGCGAAAGGAAAAGCCAAGGCTTGCGACTTTGACGTCTTGTGCCGCCTCAGAAGGGTGTGTAACGCGTAGAGACGCTTTTGTTTTTCGTGGATTCAAAGGCTGGTTGTTCAAACTTAATGCCGCTTAATGCCCTGGCTGGTTCCTTGTGCCAGACGGTGGTTTCCCTTGTTGTGTTGTCCCAATACGCACTACGGATTAGGGGGGTTTGGTTTCGATGAACCGAAACGCAGACTAGCCCTGGTACAGCATGGGCATTTGTAGAGACGCCTGCTGTATTTTCGAAACGGCGCCCTGCCGGCGCTTGGGTATGTAGGGGCACCCCCTGCCGTGCACTTAGAACAAACGGAACATGACATGCCTATCGAAGTTCAGTAACTATGTGTCCGCTCGCCGTGAGGCGAAGGAGACCATTGCCAGCAAAGCAGAGGCAGGGCTTAAAGAAAGCTCCCTTTGCACATCCCTGCGCAACCCTGGGTTCGTTCTGTTGCACAAGTTTGTTTGCGCAAGATATGCAAGTTTCTCTGTGCTTCTCTGCAAGTGGGTCTGCGCAAGCTCTCTTTGCAAGTGTGCAACTTCTCTCCGAGCAAGGTTTCCAATGTGGTGACTGTCGCAACAGAGCATGAGACGCCAGTTGGAACTCAACAATCCAACAATCAGGTGTCCGTTTTTGGTTTTTTTTCGCCCTGAGGCGAAGGAGACGATTGCCGACAAAGCAAAGGCAGGGTTGCTCCGAGCCTTCCAAGCAAGACCAAGCCACAAGGGAGACATACTCTTTTCCAAGGGACGAAGACCAACGATAGAACTGTTGAGTTGCCGACGGTTTGCGGAAGGGCTTGCCTCGCGGAAGCTTCGCGGAAGGTTGAGGTGTGAAACAATATGAGTTTCATGACATCAAGGAGATGGGTTGGTACTTGTAGTGGGCTGCCCATATCGTGCGAAATGCTGTCCACCCGTTGCCCCGGACATTCCACAAAAATTGGCCCCTGCCCGGAGGCCTCATACCTATTTGTAGCAGAGACCTTTCTGCGCCCAGATGCTCTTGGGGCAACTTCTCCATTGCACACCCCGCTTCGGTGTTTGGGCCCCGAAGCCTGGCTGTTAAATTGGGCCCATGGATCGAGAGCCTCTCAGTTGCTGGATCGAGATGTTAATTCTCAACCCGCCCAGTTTAGAAGGTGCCCTATATTTGTGCAAAATGCAGAAACACCATGCTTCTTGAAGCATGCGTGTGTTGCACTCCATACATTTTTCTCCGTGGGGGGGCAAGGCAATGTTTGGGGGCTAGTATTGGTGTAGCATAGTGTAGCTTGCTGCATCAGCATGATGAACTGCTTAGTATTGGTGTTGGCGCATTTGGGTCCTTTTCCGTCCTCTTTGTTCAGTGTTGGTTTAGTGTTTAGAGGCTGGACCACGTGTTCCACAGCTGATCCAAACTATTTGCCCCCAAACCTGACCATGATTTATGGTTAGGTTCTGCAAGCTAGGATGACATATGGGACCTCATAATTTGACATTCGCCATTATTGATTCTCAAACTTCAGAGACAACATGCGTTTTTTGCCAGAAAAAGTAACACTGGACATCAGCAACTGTTTGTTTGAATTCTTTGCGTCAAATTCTAGACCGTGAGTTTTCCCTTTGAATGTCGCCCATGTCACAGTTTCCACTGAGAAAAGTGGGAACCATGGGGATCACTTTGCAGGGACACGCAAGTTGCGCTGTAGAGGAGATGGGTCTGAACAGGCTGTGTGGAGCATTCTAACTTTGGAATCCCCGCAAAGGAGGAGGTGATAAGGCAAACTAGTCCGATGAATGCGAGATAACTCAGGGTGCGTTCGGATGACACAGTGGGAATCATATAATCACCCCTAACTCATTGAAGAGTATAACAGTTGGCAGATTTTTTGGATAAAACTATGTGTACATGTATATGCACCAGGTAACCGCGCGTATGGCACGGTCTATTTTGTGTGCCCGCACAAAAATACGTTTTATATAGGTGATGAATCACCCGAAACGCCACGCGGGTTGCCCAATTCCGAGAAACCACAAGGACCAGGAGCGACCGACAAAGCGAGTCGCAACAGAGGACCTGGCAGAGGACAGGCGGTACCTGGAGGTTTTAGTGGCACAGGCCAAATGCAAACGACTGATTCTCAAAAAGATCCAAAGCAGAGAATTGGAAGATGCGGTTAGTACACAGAGATATGATGCCACTTTTGTAGGTGTTCAAGCCCTTTTGTTTTTTTACTCATCAGCGTCGGTCTCGGCCGATCCGGCCGATTCTGGCTTTTCTGCGTTGAGTGGGCGCACACCCAGAAAAGTGGGAACTATGGGGATCACTTTGCAGGGACACGCAAGTTGCGCTGTAGAGGAGATGGGTCTGAAGAAGCTGTGTGGAGCATTCTAACTTTGGAATCCCCGCAAAGGAGGAGGTGATAAGGCAAACTAGTCCGATGAATGCGAGATATCTCAGGGTGCGTTCGGATGACACAGTGGGAATCATATAATCACCCCTAACTCATTGAAGAGTATAACAGTTGGCAGATTTTTTGGATAAAACTATGTGTACATGTATATGCACCAGGTAACCGCGCGTATGGCACGGTCTATTTTGTGTGCCCGCACACAAATACGTTTTATATAGGTGATGAATCACCCGAAACGCCACGCGGGTTGCCCAATTCCGAGAAACCACAAGGACCAGGAGCGACCGACAAAGCGAGTCGCAACAGAGGACCTGGCAGAGGACAGGCGGTACCTGGAGGTTTTAGTGGCACAGGCCAAATGCAAACGACTGATTCTCAAAAAGATCCAAAGCAGAGAATTGGAAGATGCGGTTAGTACACAGAGATATGATGCCACTTTTGTAGGTGTTCAAGCCCTTTTGTTTTTTTACTCATCAGCGTCGGTCTCGGCCGATCCCGCCGATTCTGGCTTTTCTGCGTTGAGTGGGCGCACAATTTTGGGCGTTTGGCAAGGCTAGACTCAGCAAAGTAGGATTTTGCCCCACAGAGTATAACGCTGCCTTTCGGCAACGATCAGTGTGCTTTCCCTTTGAATGTCCATCCATGAGGGTACAGGTTCTACAAGAGATGGGTCTGAACAGGCTGTGTGGCTAGTCCGATGGATGCGAGATAACTCCCGGTGCGTTCGGATGACACAGTGAGAACCATATAATACCCCTGACTCATAGAAGAGCATGGCAGTTGCCAGATTTCTGGAATGAAACTATGTGTACATGTATATGCACCAGGTAACCACGCGTGTGTACCACGGTCAACTTTGTGGGCCCGCGCAAGAATGCCTTTTATATAGGAGAAGAATCACCGACATGAAATCAAAAAGGGTCAACCCGAAACGCCACGCGGGCTGCCCATGTCACGCGGGATCAAAGGACGAGGAGCGACCGACAAAGCGCGTCGCCAGAGAGGACTGGGCGGGCACCTGGAGGTAGTGGCGCGGGCCAAATGCCAATTCCGTTTTTTGCTCCGCGTCGGTTTCGTTCGGTCCGGTCGATTCTGGCTTTTTTGCGACTGGGCCCACGGTCGGGGGCTAGACTCAGACCACCTTGCGTCAGCTGGGACCCTAAGATACTGAGCCTCTGTTTGTGGCAAACTTGTTTGTGACTGGATCGACATGTTAGTTCTCAATGTTCAGCTAGGGGTTGTATTTGTGCAAATTTGCCACACCCCCAGCCGCACGCTTGCTCTGCAACTCCAGAACGAGTGTTGGGGTTAGGTGAGGTATCTTTCAAGTCGTGTCTTCGGCTAGCAACGGCTTCAGAATGGCTTCAGCATGATGAACTGCTTAGTATTGGCCCTTTTCCTCCTGGTTCAGTATTGGTTCCGTGTTGGCAACTTGTGATGCCTTTCTGTTGGCAATTCGCAAGCAAAGAATGAGCATCATCGGTGCCGGGGAATTTCCGGTCGATTCTGTTCTTTTTGCGTGGAGTGGGCCCACGATTTCGGGCTGATCTCAAATGGAAATAGACTCAGACCCTTTCGTCGGCTGGGACCCTAAGATACTGAACCTCTAGTTGTGGTAGACTTGATTGTGAATGGACCAACTTGTTAATTTTCAATCCGCCCAGTTTAGCCAGGGGTCTTATTTCTGTCGATTTATCACACCCTTTTTCCAGAACGAGTGTTGGGGACTGGTCTGGTTTCTTTCAAGTCGTGTCTTGGGCTAGCAATAGTTTGATATTGCTGCATCATTGGTGCAGCTTGTGTTAGCATGATGAACTGATTAGTATTGGCCCTTTTCCTCTTGGTTCATAAGGATTACTTTGCCAGGTATACGCAAGTTGCGCTCTAGTTCTAGCTTTGCGAACCCTGCAAGACATCACGTAGTAAAGCAAACTAGTCTGACAGATGCGAGATATCTCAGATGACACACTGGGCATCAAAAAGCTCTGACTCATACAAGAGTGTGACAGTTTGCAGATTTTTGGGATGAACCCATACATGTACATGTATCACACCAGGCAACCACGCGTGTACCAGGGTTTAGTTTGTGGGCCCGCGCAAAACTACGTCTTATATAGGGACTGGCTTACCATCGTTATGAGATCGAGATGGGCTACTTGCATCATCACACGAAACGTGTGTCACATTGGACAAAACAACAATGACCAGGAGCGACCGACAAAGCGCGTCGCGAGCGAGGACTGGGCGGAGGACAGGCGGTGCCTGGAGGTTTTTGTGCGTGACGGGGGCCAAATCCAAATTTGTCTGTTTTTCGCCTGTGGATTTTGACTTTTTGCGTGGAGCGGGCCCACGATGTCGGGCTGTCACTTGGAAGGCTGGACTCAGACCACCTTTCGGCTGGAACTCTAAGATACCAAACCTCTAGTTGTAGGAGGCGTGTGTGTGAATTCTCAACCCGCCTAGTTCAGCCAGCGGTCTTGTTTTCAAGCCACACGCTTGCTCTGCAACTCCAGAACGAGTATTGGGGGCAGGTCTCTTTCAAGTCGTGTTTTGGGCCAGCAATGGGTTGATGCTGCTTCATCCTTGGTGTAGTTTGTTGTGCCAGCGTGATGGACTCCTTAGTATTGGCCCTTTTCCTCTTTGTTCAGTACCAAATGACAATGTGTCCGTTTTTTGCTCATTGGTGCCGGGGAATTTCCGGTCGATTCTGTTCTTTTTGCGTGGAGTGGGCCCACGATTTCGGGCTGATCTCAAATGGAAATAGACTCAGACCCTTTCGTCGGCTGGGACCCTAAGATACTGAACCTCTAGTTGTGGTAGACTTGATTGTGAATGGACCAACTTGTTAATTTTCAATCCGCCCAGTTTAGCCAGGGGTCTTATTTCTGTCGATTTATCACACCCTTTTTCCAGAACGAGTGTTGGGGACAGGTCTGGTTTCTTTCAAGTCGTGTCTTGGGCTAGCAATAGTTTAATATTGCTGCATCATTGGTGCAGCTTGTGTTAGCATGATGAACTGATTGGTATTGGCCCTTTTCCTCTTTGTTCATAAGGATTACTTTGCCAGGTATATGCAAGCTGCGCTCTTTGCGAACCCTGCAAGACATCACGTAGTAAAGCAAACTAGTCTGACAGATGCGAGATATCTCAGATGACACACTGGGCATCAAAAAGCTCTGACTCATACAAGAGTGTGACAGTTTGCAGATTTTTGGGATGAACCCATACATGTACATGTATACACACCAGGCAACCACGCGTGTACCAGGGTTTAGTTTGTGGGCCCGCGCAAAACTACGTCTTATATAGGGGCTGGCTTACCATCGTTATGAGATCGAGATGGGCTACTTGTATCATCACACGATACGCGTGTCACACGGGACAAAACAACAATGACCAGGAGCGACCGACAAAGCGCGTCGCGAGCGAGGACTGGGCGGAGGACAGGCGGTGCCTGGAGGTTTTTGTGCGTGACGGGCCAAATCCAAATCTGTTTGTTTTTCGCCTGTCGATTTTGACTTTTTGCGTGGAGCGGGCCCACGATGTCGGGCTGTCACTTGGAAGGCTGGACTCAGACCACATTTCGGCTGGAACTCTAAGATACCAAACCTCTAGTTGTAGGAGGCGTGTGTGTGAATTCTCAACCCGCCTAGTTCAGCCAGCGGTCTTGTTTTCAAGCCACACGCTTGCTCTGCAACTCCAGAACGAGTATTGGGGGCAGGTCTCTTTCAAGTCGTGTTTTGGGCCAGCAATGGGTTGGTGCTGCTTCATCCTTGGTGTAGTTTGTTGTGCCAGCGTGATGGACTCCTTAGTATTGGCCCTTTTCCTCTTTGTTCAGTACCAAATGACAATGTGTCCGTTTTTTGCTCATCGGTGCCGGGGAATTTCCGGTCGATTCTGTTCTTTTTGCGTGGAGTGGGCCCACGATTTCGGGCTGATCTCAAATGGAAATAGACTCAGACCCTTTCGTCGGCTGGGACCCTAAGATACTGAACTTGTGAATGGACCAACTTGTTGATTCTCAACCCGCCCAGTTTAGCCAGGGGTCTTATTTCTGTCGATTTATCACACCCTTTTTCCAGAACGAGTGTTGGGGACAGGTCTGGTTTCTTTCAAGTCGTGTCTTGGGCTAGCAATAGTTTAATATTGCTGCATCATTGGTGCAGCTTGTGTTAGCATGATGAACTGATTAGTATTGGCCCTTTTCCTCTTTGTTCATAAGGATTACTTTGCCAGGTATACGCAAGTTGCGCTCTAGTTCTAGCTTTGCGAACCCTGCAAGACATCACGTAGTAAAGCAAGCTAGTCTGACAGATGCGAGATATCTCAGATGACACACTGGGCATCAAAAAGCTCTGACTCATACAAGAGTGTGACAGTTTGCAGATTTTTGGGATGAACCCATACATGTACATGTATACACACCAGGCAACCACGCGTGTACCAGGGTTTAGTTTGTGGGCCCGCGCAAAACTACGTCTTATATAGGGGCTGGCTTACCATCGTTATGAGATCGAGATGGGCTACTTGTATCATCACACGAAACGCGTGTCACACGGGACAAAACAACAATGACCAGGAGCGACCGACAAAGCGCGTCGCGAGCGAGGACTGGGCGGAGGACAGGCGGTGCCTGGAGGTTTTTGTGCGTGACGGGCCAAATCCAAACTTGTCTGTTTTTCGCCCACGATGTCGGGCTGTCACTTGGAAGGCTGGACTCAGACCACCTTTCGGCTGGAGCTCTAAGATACCAAACCTCTAGTTGTAGGAGGCGTGTGTGTGAATTCTCAACCCGCCTAGTTCAGCCAGCGGTCTTGTTTTCAAGCCACACGCTTGCTCTGCAACTCCAGAACGAGTATTGGGGGCAGGTCTCTTTCAAGTCGTGTTTTGGGCCAGCAATGGGTTGATGCTGCTTCATCCTTTGTGTAGTTTGTTGTGCCAGCATGATGGACTCCTTAGTATTGGCCTGTTTCCTCTTTGTTCAGTATTGGTTCAGCGTTGGCTTACAATGCCTTAAAGTTGGCAACGGAAAGTCTGTAATCTGGGTACCCTTGCAAGCAGCAAATGAGCAGCAGAGGCTGGACACCATGTTGCACAGCTGATCAACACTTTCTTCCCCAATCTTGCCCCATGTTGATGTATAGTAGGTTCTGCAAGATAAGATAGGATGACATATGGGGCCGTATTTTGACATTCGTCATGGTTTTTTGACCTTCCAACAACTTCGCGCCGTCTTTGCATAAACGCGCGAACGACTGGCGCGCCCTTGGCTACCACTTGGAATTCATTGGTTTTTACAGGTCATTTGTGGGTTGGCAATGCTGAAGGCTAGTTAAGAAGCATCATGTAACTATGCATAATCGCTGACAAAATGAAGAAAACGTGCTCGGCACAAAATCAAGAAAACGTGCGCCCAGGGAACCTACAGCCGCACAGCAGGACATCCAAACTCATTTTGCGCTGTGTTCCCGTGGACGTGAACGTTATTTTGTTGAACATGGTGGAACCCCTGGACCGCTGTGTTCCCGTGTGCGTGAACGGTATTATGCTGAACATGGTTGCACCCCTGGACAGCTGTGTTCCCGTGAGCGTGAACGGTATTATGTTGAACATGGTGGCACCCCTGGACCGCTGTGTTCCCGTGGACGTGAACGTTATTATGGTGAACATGGTGGATCCCATGGACCGCTGTGTTCCCGTGAGCGTGAACGGTATTATGCTGAACATGGTGGCACCCCTGGACCGCTGTGTTCCCGTGAGCGTGAACGGTATTATGTTGAACATGGTGGCACCCCTGGACCGCTGTGTTCCCGTGAACGTGAACGGTATTATGCTGAACATGGTGACACCCCTGGACCGCTGTGTTCCCATGCTCGTGAACGGTATTCTGTTGAACATGGTGGCACCCCTGGACCGCTGTGTTCCCGTGGACGTGAACGTTATTGTGGTGAACATGGTGGATCCCATGGACCGCTGTGTTCCCGTGAGCGTGAACGGTATTATGTTGAACATGGTGGCACCCCTGGACCGCTGTGTTCCCGTGAACGTGAACGGTATTATGCTGAACATGGTGGCACCCCTGGACCGCTGTGTTCCCATGATCGTGAACGGTATTCTGTTGAACATGGTGGCACCCCTGGACCGCTGTGTCCCCGTGAGCGTGAACGGTATTCTGTTGAACATGGTGGCACCCCTGGGCCGCTTTTGTTGGGAAATCATCATTTTCGTTTCTTCTGTCAAATGTGTCCGAATTGCTGCGCAGGCCACACAAAACGAGTGTCCGGGAAAATGCATTTTCGCGCGTTTACGTGATGACGGGCCGCCAACTTCAATGATAGACCATAGCGCTGACAATTACGACGATCGGTTTGCATGGTTTATAGCTCGCGCGCTTTCTCTTTGAATGTCGATCCACCAGGGTACAGTTTCGACTGAGAACAGTCCAGTCGGAACTGTTGGAGACCATTCTAGCCTTGGAAACCCTGCAAAGCATCAGGTATTCAAGCAAACTAGTCCGATAGATGCCAGATCACTCAGGGTGCGTCCTGCTTTGTGGGCCCACGCAAAGCCTTTTTTCTATCAGCATAATTTGGGAGATCAATCGCCGACATTGCGAAATCGAGATGGGTGTCAACTGTGCTATCGCACGAAACACCGTGTGACAGAGAAATAAAAGCAACAGCGACCAGGAGCGACCGAGCAAGCGTGTTACGAGAGCGGACTGGGCGGAGGAGAGGCGATACCTGGAGATTTTAGTGGCTGCTCGGGCCAAATGCCACTTTGTTCGTGTTTTTTCCGGTCACTTCTGATTTTCTTGCAAGAGTGTGCCGGGGGCACCTTACAACAGCTGGGCCCCTAAGATACAGAACCAATATTGTTTTTTTTGCTGCAGTCGCTGGATCGAGATGTTAATTCTCGACCAAATGCTGGCTAAAGTTGGCAAGGGAAAACCATTCTTTAACTCGGGTACCCTTGCAAACAAAAAGTGAAGATCAGTGGCTGGACCCTCCAAGCTTGGCCATGTTGATTCATAGCTAGGTTCCGTAAGATGACATGGGGCCGCGTACGTTGACATTCGTCGAGGATTGTTGACCCTCAAAACTCAGAGATAGAGTATGCGTTTGCCCCAAAAAGAGTAGAACGCCAACCGTTTATAGCATGCGCTATTCCTTCGAATGTCCCTTTTCGGGGGTTTGCCGTTTTCCTTGAGCACATAGGAATCACTTTGCCAGGTATACGCAAGTTGTGCTCTAGAGGAGATGTATGTGCATGGGCTGTGTGGCATTCTATTCTCACCTGGGTAGTTTTCTTTTTTTAAGTTCTAACATGCTGGGCTTGATGCGTTCTTTTTAGAACTCCGCTTGGGAGTGCCTCCTTTTTATGTTCTCTATTCAAAAGGCGATGAGTTTGAAACTTTGCAGTTTACTCTCTACCTTGGGAGCTAATCCTTCTGAATTTGCGATTCAAATGAACTAGGGCGTGAAGCTTCCTCCTTCACTATGTTTGCTTGAGAGCTTGTCATTGTGAGTATTCAATAACAATGATTTGAAATTGTTCCTGACACTTTTATCGAGCGTTTCCTTTTGACTTTCGGTAGCGAACACAGTGTGTTTGAAGCGTTCACTTCATTTGTTTGAACTCTTTTCCTTTGAGTTTCCCATTCGCAACTCATGTTTCGTGTAGAATTGTGTACTCAGAAACGATGCAGTTTAAAGCCTCTTCTTCAAACTCCAGCTTGCCTAAGCTTGTGTTTTTGGAATTCCTGAGACCATACAAGCCATAGAGCGCAGCGGCAGCCGAGCTCAGACTTTTGAATAAAGTTGGCCCCAGAGTCACCTCTCCCTTCAAACCTGAGGCACCCGACGTGCCTTTTTTTTTAGGTACGAGAGAAAACCGCTCGAACTACCGATTTCTGCTCGGCCCCCCAAAAAACGCCCGCCCCCCGAAAACGCTCGACCTTCTTCCATCCAGAGGAAGGCTTGTTACGTTTAAAAAAAAAAAAAAGCACTCGTTTGCGAATATTGTTTTGCGCTCGTTTTGCGGATATTTGCGCTTGTTTTGCACTTCGTTTTCTGCTCGCTCCTTTCGAAAATTCAGCGACCGATCATCTTGGAGGACCGACCAGCCCGGTTTTGGGAAAAACGTGCGAAGCAGGAAAAAGTGTACGTTGACCATATTTTGGTGACGACCCCTGGTTTTGCAATACGTTTTGGCTAAGGGCAGACATTTAGGTAACAAAGGGTGCTCCAGGATTTGGAATTCTAGGAGATGATTCCCCATTCAACCAAATTTCTTTCGAATACCTGGCCGGCTTTCCCGGGTTGGCCCAGAAAGAAGGATCCCAATGGGGAAGGTATCGAGTGTTGCAAGGCTTCCCCGAAGTTTGAGCCGAGGATCTGCTGACCGAGAGCCAGGCAGAGGACTTGATGAAGAAGCTCAATGTCGGAGACTTGCTGAGCCACATCGACCAGATGTCGACCAAGGAGAGGCAGCAGTACCGGGAGAGTCTAGAGAGCCCCTTGGCAGAGTTTGTGAAAATCAACCCTTGGCAGTGTTTGTTTCTTTCCCAGGGTCCCGTGGCTATCCCAGCGTCTTTCTTTGACCACTTTTGGTTGTTTCAAGTATGTGTATTGACGTCCTCCGCTCCTGTAGGTGACTATGGCTTACCTTCAATCTTAATGAAGTTGGCCAAGTAGTTCTCTTCCTCCTCCATCAAGGCCTCGAGGTCTTGGGCTTCTCCGGGCGTGACCTTTAGCTGGCCATCTGCAAGCCCTGAGAGTTCGCGACGGAAAAACCTGAATTCAAGGGGCGCAAGGTTTTGCTTGGTGCTCAGGGAGTGTGGGAATGAACCCGGGGATCCCCTAGGAAACCAGGGATTGGTTTGGAGCGATGCCCAGGTGTGGCGCTGCCGCTCTTCGGCCTCCTGAGCCGGCCAGACGACTCCAGGTTTTTGGAGTTCTGGGAGGAGGCCAGGGATTGGCAGTTTTAGAGACCTGGCAGGGTGGTGTTTGCAGAGAAATTGCAAAGTGTTTCATGCTCGGAGGTCTCTAAAACTGCCAATCCTTGACCTCATGTACATAAGCTGTTTTCCCTTTGCTTGAGGGTATGTTTTACTCACGCCTGTTGCTTTTAAATGGAACCGATCACCAAAACTCCGTCTCCGGTTTCTCGAACAGCAGGTTGTTGTTGGGTGTATTTCTCAGGTCAAGTGACGTTCTTTCCCAAACTTCATTTGGTGTTGCGGGGTTCCGTTTTTGCATGTTGCTTGAGGCGGTCGTGTAAATGCAGCAAACCGCATCTCATGTAGCACACGTGGCGACTTAGTTGCGCCATGGTGTGCTTGCGCCGGTGTGCTATGACACGGCATTCTGTTGCTCGCGCTTGAGAAACTTGCCAACGGGCAGGCCGAAGGGGGCTATCATTTTCTGATTTGGGTGTGGCTCAAAATTAGAGAGCTAGGGTTACGCAGGTTTTAGTCTTTGGTTCCATTTACCAAGGGGGCCATTTGGGGCACATTGTTTTGAGCCACAGCCATTTGATCTCTGAGGAATAGCGCCATTCAAACAATGGGGGCTCATATCACCACCGTTTTTTACCTCTCGGTTTTCATCATCCAAATTGGTCAACCATTCCTTTAACGGGGGTTGAACCCCCAAGATTGAATTCAGTTGCTTCACGGCAGGATCAATGGCCATCGCGGAGATGAAGACTGCCCTGACGAAGGCGCGGGTTTTGTGTGGTGAGAAGGTGGATTGCTTGGGGTGAGTGATTGTGTTTTGAGTGAGGTGGTCTTTTTTGGCGGTTTTTATGGTGTTTTTGTGTTGGGCTCCTTGCGGTGGAATGGGGCTGAGTTGGCTTGAGTTGTGGTTTGACACTGGCAACCAGTCCAAACCTGGTATCCCGGTCGGAACCGAAGACCTGATTGGCTGCTGAAGCCATTTGGTGCAGCGGCTGATAGGCAGACACATCGACATGTGCATTCCCCATCATAGTGACGTGTTTCAATTGAGGCGCAAAGTTTGTGTTGCAAGCATCGGCAAGTTTCACATGAGATCCGGTTACTTGCTTTCTGCATGTTTATCTCGCATATCAAACACAAGTTTCCATTTGTGGTTCCCTCATTTGCAGACAAATGTGCTGCCAGAAGGCACTATCAGTTCGCACTGACGCGAGTCTGGGCAACTGAATCCGAGTCGCCGGTCCGGGGGTCCTTGACTGGATCCGGTTTTTTTCCTTGGGGTCTTGTTCAGACTAGCTTGACATTGATAGCCCTCCTTCCAAATGGTCATCACCGCAAGTGGTACTGGTAATCAAGCTCAGAGGCTCAGATTGTAAAAAGAAAACGCCAAGAAGATATGCCCCAGATAGTATGGCCACATGAGTGGAATGCGTTAGCATACACCTGGAATTCTCGTAGTTGTTCCATGCGTGATCGAGTTCAGGTAGCAGAGGCCAAGCGCGAAATCTGCGAGGCTCGAGTGGAGCTGAAATGGGATGCACACAAAGAATAACTTTGGATTCATCAGGAGAACTGTAGTAGTCATACGACAAGGAGAGCCCTTTCAAAACGACAAAGTAGTCATGGGGATGTCCCAATTTGGTGTCACGCAACAGAGTCATTCCGTACACCTACTCCGGATCCCCAAAAAAAATGAGGCTAAGTGTCCCTTCAAAGGTAAGTTAGTGATGTGTATTTCAGCCAGGGACCCTTTAGTGATTGGTTGAACACATGCAACCACCGCCTTTTGGAGGGGAACGGATGTTGACACAGTGAGCCGGACCTTCTCCCAAACGGGTGTCAGTTTTTTGTCCCCTTTCATTGGATGGTTGTCAAAGGAAAACAAGGGCGAACGGAAACACCCACATAAAAGATATGACGCCTTGCGTCAAAACTACGGAGTGTTTTGGGGACAACAAATCAAGCCAACTCGTAGCCAACATGACACCAACAATTCAAAACAAGTCCCTACATTTGACCCAGTCATGCATTGAATGCATGGGCGGGCGCCCACCCAATCTAAAATCAAAGCATGGGCATCCGAAGATCAGTTGCAATAGAACGTTCCAAATCATAAACACGGGTAGAGGTCCCTTGTACTTCCGTTCTACGAGGGCCTCTCCTAGCCTACATAGCCCTGAAAAATAATAACCGCAGGTGTGTCATAGCACCACTAGTTTGTAGGGTATTTATCCCACTGTTTTCTTGGGGTACTGGTGTAGTGAGAAAAAGCACAGTTTCGCTGGTATTGTGTTTTCCTTGTGGTCGCTTCCGTGCTTGAAAAGGACAAAAACAGGTGGCAGGGAACGGATATTTTGGAAGGGAATGCGGACTCTAACGTTTTGTGAGGGAAGTTGAAGGTGTCGAGGGAAACAGCAACCTCAAGGTTTGTTTCGCTTTCTCGCCTTATACTCTTCGGGCATAGGACTCATAGGCATCGCCTTGTGACGGGCCCAGGTACCACTGAATCGGTGTCTCCTGATGAACTGGGTTCGAAAAAGGATTCCAGATAGATCAACATTTAGTTTCCGATTGTCCAAGCAAGGAGTGGGAGGAGCTTGTGAGGATGGTGTCAGACCGGCGGAATTGGACCGTGATGTTTCAAGCGTTTTGTTTTGCATTGGTGCCAGCAAGTGGCAGGGGGAGATGGAGGAGAGATCTCTTTTCTTGGAGAAAAAGAAACAGAGCTCTCTCTCTCTCTCAGTGTTTGAAATGTCCCTGCGAGGGCCTGTAGAGTGCGCGTGGAGGGTTTTGCTTTTTCATCGGAGCCACCTCCCGTCATTGCCGCTGTGCACGTTCGTGTGGGTTGCGGGAGGTTTTGAGCGATTGACATAGCATGGAAGAGAACTCTCATCACCTCTCACCTGTTTGCGAGTCAGCCTAGCAACCTAGCAACCTCGTTGCCCTTGAGCATGAAACAAGAATCACGGATTCTGCTCCCGTCCAGATGGGCCGCCGAGCAGTCACCCCCAACCTGGAGCGCGTCGCGGCGCGTGACCCGCCGCAGCGAGGCCCGGCCCAGACACCCTTTCTTTGCAGAAGCAATTACCAGAAACATTGACTCAGTGTGACCATGCATTGAAGGTTGGAGTTTCGAATAGACTTTGGATTTTGTCAAACCAACGTTTAGTTTGTTTGTTTTTTTTGTAGTTGTTTCTTCTTTGCACTGAACATGGCCTTTTTCATTCTTCTCCGAGGTCCGAGTAATCTGACTAGATGATCATTCTAGGGAATCGAACAATCCCGAGAGAGCGCAATGATCAAAGAGCAGGTTATAGCAGGTCTATCTATTTTGCGCTTAGAGAGCCAAACCGCCAAACCCTGCATTGGCTAATTAGAATTAAAACATGTTGAGATGTAAATCAGCACTAAAACTATGTGCTGCTGTCCAGCGCCATCACATGGTTCAGCGCAATCTTTCTCAAGCAGCTTGAACTCGTCTGACACAAAAGCAACAGGTATCGGTCAACATTTATCTCCGAACCTAAACCACAGTATCATTGTACATCCCTATTGTGGACTTCACCACATCGCTCCTTCGTGCAGACTCGGCAAGGATCCTTGCTCCCACAAAAGTCCTTCCGGTATTTGTCGTTCACCTGGGTAGCCTTCGAGACTCCGAGGGCTGTTGGGCTGTTGGGCTGTTGAGCTGTTGGGCAGGGGTTCTTGGGCTGTTGGGCTGTTGGGTTGGGATGTTGGGCTACTCTGCAGTGCAATTCACAATCCGCAATTGTTCGACGTTCTTTTCTCGGCTCTTGGCCAGACTCACCTTCGATCTGCAGAACCGGGTTGACGGAGGGCGCTCCTCTTTTTTTTCTCGAATTTCGTAGTATTTCAGAACCCCCCAAAACACACACAAACACACGGTTTGCTGGAACTGATTCATTTATCTTCACAGAGTTCTTGAAGTCACCATTGAAGGACCTTTGAATTGCAACCTGTCGATCACTCGCGAAAATCTGCTGAGGCTTTGGTTGGCAGCGCAATGTGGAAGTGCACGGGCTTCTGTGGAGCTCATGGGTTGTTTGCACGGCCCATATTTTTCTTCGGATAGCAACTTCATCAGCCACTGATGTAAATCTCACGAGCTTTCAGTGCATTGTGATCCCTTTTGGCTCAAGCCTTTGACGCTCTCAGGCACGACCATAGTCGCACGCTTGTACGTCCATCATGACGATGTTCTGGGCCATATCATTGATGCTCTGGCCTGGTGTTGCGACGTCGGCCACGCCGCAAGGAGCCTGCAACCCAAAGACAGGAGACATTTGTGATTTTGAGATGGATTTTGAAACATCCATTTTCATCCAGAGGCAGAAGCGGGCAACCCTGGCGGGAGCCGGCACTGCCCCTGCCCTTCCATGCTCCAGCAGCCTGTCTGAGAGCACTTGGGAGAAGCGGCACAAGTTGAACTCCGTGTTCTTCCAGCTCTATGGGGCGAACATGACACAGAGCGGCATGGCACCCTTTGAGGCGACTCGGCAAGACAAAATTCCATGGGAGTGACTGTGGCAGTCACCCGGAAAGGCCAAAAAGGCCAAAAGCGAGACCTGGTCCGAAACCAACTCGGGAGGAGGATTCGAACTGTGTACTGTTCTACCCGTGATGTAATGAAACGGCGCTGCACGCGAGCAGTTTCGTTTGTCAAGTCCACTTCGGAGTCACGATCCAAACCTTTTCAAAAAGATCCAAGTTCCACATTGCCAGCTTCTTCTCCCGGTGAACCGAGACGAGCCTGAGCCAACGAGCCGAGGTCAGGCCCTTTTGGCCAGACATGAGCCAGAGTGGCAGTGTGAAGCGCCTGAAGCTCTTGAAGGAGCTCAAGGAGGAGAGAAGCATGGCATCGCGAATCAAGTTTAGCGTGGCTTGTGTTTTTGTTTTTCATCTGGGGTGAACGCAGTGACTTTGGAACGATTTGGAGAACTTTGTGAGGTGGGTTCCGTGTGGTTCAAAAATGGTTTGCCACATGGTTCAAAGTGTTTTTTTGGCAGCATGCCATAGGGTTTCACATCATCCTTCTCCATCCGTGTCCGAAGTTTCATGGTTGGTGCGTCCGAAGTCTGCCATCCGTTGTGTCCAGCAGCAAACAGTGGAGCCATTGTTGTCACTTGTGTCGGACATGCGAGGAAAGTGCTGAGATCCGGGTCCAGTTGCCTCTCTTTTGTCAGGAGCTTCGCATGGCCTTCGAGGTGGAAGGGCAGACCCTGTATGACAAGAACGTCCTGAACCGCATGTTCTTGATCGTCTCGGAACGTGTTCGTGGAGAGGAGATCGGTGGCCTGCCAGGCGCGGGAAGTCGCGATGCAACTTCAGATTTCTGAGCTCCGGGTGGGTTCCTTCAGACTCTTTCCGAGTCTTGGGTCGGGTCATTCAGAACTCCTCTCCCGAATGGAACCGTTCAGTTTGGTCCAATGGCCCCGAGGCGTCCCAATCGCCTTGGCGCTGGATCTCTTTGCGCAGGACACCACTGCAGGGTCACAGGTCCCCTTCTACTACTACCCAGGAATTTACCAGTTCCTCACTTACGCACAGACCCCATCGGCCAAGAAGATCCCGGAGGGTCTTGCAAGCTTTCCGCAGTATTTGCAGCAGTGGACCAAACTCTTGAAGGCAGCGCAGGAAGCCAACGTTCTCCCGCAGATGGCAAACTACGCGGTGTGGAAAGACACCTACTTGGGGGCCACGGATTGGGAGCGAAGCTTTCCGGGTCTCTCTGAAGACCAGGAACTCCTTGGGGCGTTGAAGACCAGCCTCTCGGAGTTCCAGGCTGCACTTCGGGCTTTGGAGCCATTTATTTTGAAAGCGTATGGGCCCGGACAGGAGATGGGCTACTCCGTTTTGGGGAAGTTTGGCCAAGAGATTTTCCTGTGGAGATTGTTGGGCTGGGGGATGGACTATGATGCGGACACCGCTTCCCAGCTGGCCACACAAGCGAGGGAGGGGGCCGAGGAGATGAGGGAGTGGGTGGTTCGCGGATTGAGCGAAGCATTCGGCGAGGAGATGGATGTAGAAATGGCCTTGAGCATGATTCAAGACCAGTCGGGGCCCTTGTACTACCAGCACACGTCTTGGGACCAGATGACGGACAACCTGACCCTGGTCTACAACAATATCCTCAAAAACACCCACCTGGTCTTTGGCACCTTGAGCAATTGCAACTGCGCAGTGTACCCATGTCAAACACTGCCGAAAGACGTGTTTGGGGATGAGCCATGTCTGGCCAATTCCCCATTCCCAGCCTTTGCGCTTGTTTTCCCCGCTTTCAACGAGCATGATGAGTGCGTCGAATCACAGTACTTGATCTTGGGCCGTAGCGCAGATTGTGAACTGAACTTGACCAAAGGTTTGGCTTGCATGGACTATATGATCCCACTCATGACCCCCACCATGATTCATGAAGGCTTGGGCCACTGGGTGCAGGAACTCCAGCATTGGCCAGCGAAATGTGACCCCGACCTGCCCGCAGTGAGCACCTTTCAGGAAGGCTGGGGAACCTACGCGGAATCTTTAGGCTTTCCGCTGGGCGTCTACGACAACTCCCTCTGGGGCAAGCTGTCGAAGGTCGGCTGGGCAATGGGAAGAGGCTTGCGCATGTGCAGGTTCTTCTTAGAGCATGATGTCAACTACAAGAACATGAGCCGCAGCGAAGCAATCAAGGAGTGGAACCAGTACCCCTTTGCATCACCCACGCTGTACGACGACAACGCGTTGGACTTCATTGTCAATACTGGACAGAGGCAGGAACAGAAATGCATCAACTATTTATCAACATGTCAGTTTCACGGTGACCTGCGAACAGACCCTCTTACTAAGAAAGCCGAACCCCAGTCTTTAGAGTCGCCCAGGTCTACATACTTCCCCACTCTTCAGCTCATGATGAAGAACAGGAAGAAGGCACAAGACAGCTTGGGGAGCAAGTTTAGTCTCCCGCTCTTCAACAAGTTCATGGGTCTTCTGACGGATCAGTTGACGCCGGCCATGGTGGGAGAATCCACTGAGGCATTCATCAAGTGCAGTGAGGCCAACAATTGCTTCGGCTAATGGCCATGAGTACAATGGTGTTTATCATGAACTGGCTTAAATGCCAGCTATTTTGAACTTAGCGTAGGCGAAGACCTCGCTACCTGGAACATGCCTTGGCAAATAACTCTGGTGCAAAATTCGCTCAGAATGTTCTTGCGCCTTGCGGTGGCCCTACACCTGTTCTCCACATTCCGGAATCCAGCGCAGTTCCTTGCCTGAGTCTGGAGCCTCGCGACACGCGCTGGTTGCGACCGTCGACGCGCTTCGCTCGGTGAGGTGTCGGCGTCGACACCTGGCAGCGATCTCCGGCTGACCCCTCAGCAAGCAGCAGGAAAATGATCTAAAGAATTAGCTGATGTAAGTAAGTGATACTGTGTAGGGTAAGTTTGAGAAAGACATGTTGGAGACACAGTGAGATGAGTACAAAAGAAACGTTTATTAAAGCGAAATATGGTAATATAGTGAAATGGCGAGGGCGCTCCGAGGTGCAGTGGACAGGAACACAACGCTAGGGAATGAACCTGGGGTCCCCTCAAAGGAAACCACCAGTTGGATGGTGTAAATCGGGGTCATTGCAATTCTCATTCCCTGAGCACCAGCTAGTTTTTGTTGGATGGCATGCTCTGTTTGAGGGTTCACCTTGGGGCGACTCTGAAACTGCGACAAGCCAATGCCCCGTTTGTTTTCCACTAACCAGGCAAAAAAATATATATTTTTGCTGGGGTCCTAATTCCAGCCTAGATGCGAGACATTTCCCATTTCACATTTTGAGGAGTGCCTGGTCACGGAGGAGAAGTGGGACCAGGCTGGCCCGCCTTCTCGTCCTTCCGGGCGCAAGCTTAAGCGAGGCAGTTTCTTTCCATTTAGGAGTCGGTCCCCAAAGATGGGACGGAAACAGAGGAAGCCGTTCTTTGCAATAGAGTGTTTGGCGCAAGGCTGTGATTGCTCTTTAGTGGCAAACGAACATGTTGGGCGTGTTTGGTCCACGCACTGAGTCTGCTGCGGCATTTCCAAGGCTCCCGTTCCACTTCCCCTTTTTGATTGAAGCATCACCAGCCTTGAACGTGAGCTTCCTTTGGGTGGATTTTGTTCAACTAAAACATAGGGAATGCGGATATGCCATTCTCTAGCCTTTGATAGATAGCACAGCTTTCAGCTCGAGGTCGCAAAAGCAAGCCGTTCGAATCGAGCCCTGGAGTTCTGGGTACTGGCTTTGCCTGGGTTCCGGGTCTAGGCCCAGGATACGCCTTTGGGCTCTACTGCTATTGGGTTGGATCTTTAGACTTTAACTTTTTGGATTCCCCTCATATTTTGTTTTAACCAGCAAAAAGCTAAACTTTTTGCTGGGGGATCTACAGCACCCAAGTAGGGAAACCGTCCAAGAGAGCCATAGGGAAAAAGCTCGACAACCAGATCATTGCCTGCGCATGGCAATCATGTAGCATCCCGAAGCAACCGATGTCTAAAGGAAGCCATTTGGGTATGTGTGGTCTTGGGGGGACCTTTGTTTAGGGGAACCCCCTTTTTCGCGGCTTTTGAAGGGAAGCCAAAAGGGACGTTTAGGGCTCTTTGTGGAGAATATGTATGTTTTCTTTCAAGAAAAACACAAGGTATACAAATCAAGCTGGAGGCGGTCGTATGGAGTGGCGTGATGTTACTCAGGCAACGTAAGGCCTAACCGGACCACCAAATCTTGGTTGATGAAAAGCTTGAGGAAGGTTCAGTTCTCCAACAAATTGGCTGTGGAAAGGAGTGGAAGCGGAAATTTGTGCGCGCCAGGGGGATCGAATCAAATGCATGAGATATTCCAGTCTGCGCACGGCGTGTTCTTCTTCAAATCAGGGGGCGGATGAGTGAGGAATCAGACAAAATGACATGGGTACATTTACAACTCGAACATAGTTGTCACAGACTGCAATGCACTGGATCAATTCATGCCACATATTGCCACATTGGCAACCAGTCCAACCTGGTATCCCGGTCGGAACCGAAGACCTGATTGGCTGATGAAGCCATTTGGTGCAGCGGCTGATAGGCAGACATATAGACATGTGCATTCCCCATCATAGTGACGTGTTTCAATTGAGGCGCAAAGTTTGTGTTGCAAGCATCGGCAAGTTTCACATGAGATCCGGTTACTTGCTTTCTGCATGCTTATCTCGCATATCAAACACGAGTAATTTCCATTTGTGGTTCCCTCATGTGCAGACAAATGTGCCGCCAGACGGCACTATACCGACGCGGGTCTGGGCAACTGAATCCGAGTCGCCGGTCCGGGGGTCCTTGACTGGATCCTTTTTTTTCTTGGGGTCTTGTTCAGACTAGCTTGATAGCCCTCCTTCCAAATGGTCATCACCGCAAGTGGTACTGGTAATCGCCCTCAGACTGTTAGAGAATCGCCAAGCAGATATGCCCCAGATAGTATGGCCACATGAATAGAATGCATTAGCATAAACCTGGAACTCTCGTAGTTGTTCCATTCGTTCTCGAGTTCAGGTAGCAGAGGCCAAGCGCGAAATCTGCGAGGCTCGAGTGGAGCTGAAATGGGACGCGCACAAAGAATAACTTTGGATTCATCAGGAGGACTCTAGTAGTCATACGACAAAGAGAACCTCTTCAAAACGACAAAGTAGTCATATGGCCGAATTTGGTGTCAAACAACAGAGTCATTCCTTACAACTATTCGAGATCCCCAAAAACGATGCTAAGTGTCCCTTTTAAAGGTAAGTTAGTGCTTTTGGTGGTTGAACAAAGGCAACCACTGCCATTTGGAGGGGAACGGATGTTGACACAGTGAGCCGGACCTTCTCCCAAACTGGTGTCAGTTTTTGGTCCCCTTTCATTGGATGGTTGTCAAAGGAAAACAAGGGCGAACGGAAACACCCACATAAAAGATATGACGCCTTGCGTCAAAACTGCGGATTGTTTTGGGGACAACAGTAACAAGCCAACTCGTAGCCAACATGACACCAACAATTCAAAACGAGTCCCTACATTTGACCCAGTCATGCATTGAATGCATGGGCGGGCACCCACCCAATCTAAAATCAAAGCATGGGCATCCGAAGATCAGTTGGAATAGAACGTTCCAAATCATAAACACGGGTAGAGGTCCCTTGTACTTCCGTTCTACGAGGGCCTCGCCTAGCCGACATAGCCCTGAAAAATAATAACCGCAGGTGTGTCATAGCACCACTAGTTTGTAGGGTATTTATCCAGCTGTTTTGTTTGGGGTACTGGTGTAGTGAGAAAAAGCACAGTTTCGCTGGTATTGTGTTTTCCTTGTGGTCACTTCCTTGCTCGAAAAGGACAAAAACAGGTGGCAGGGAACGGATATTTTGGAAGGGAATGCGGACTCTAACGTTTTGTGAGGGAAGTTGAAGGTGTCGAGGGAAACAGCAACCTCAAGGCTTGTTTCGCCTTCTCGCCTTATACTCTTCGGGCATAGGACTCATAGGCATCGCCTTGTGACGGGCCCAGGTACCACGGAATCGGTGTCTCCTGATGAACTGGGTTCGAAAAAGGATTCTATATAGATCAACATTTAACGATTGTCCAAGCAAGGAGTGGGAGGAGCTTTTGAGGATGGTGTTAGACCGGCGGAATTGGACCGTGATTTTTCAAGCATTTTTTTTGCATTGGTGCCAGCAAGTGGCTGGACCGTCAGGGGAGGGATGGAGGAGAGATCTCTTTTCTTGGAGAAAAAGAGACAGAGCTCTCTCTCTCTCTCTCTCTCAGTGCTTGAAATGTCCCTGCGAGGGCCTGTAGAGTGCGCGTGGAGTCCCGTCATTGCCGCTGTGCACGTTCGTTTGGGTTGCGGCATGAAAGAGAACTCTCATCACCTCTCACCTGTTTGGGAGTCAGCCTAGCAACCTAGCAACCTCGTTCCCCTTGAGCAAGCAACAAGAATCACAGATTCTGCGTTGTCCCTCTCTCGTTTGGAGGCCCGTCCAGATGGGCCGCCGAGCAGTCACCCCCGAGCGCGTCGCGGCGCGTGACCCGCCGCAGCGAGGCCCGGCCCCCGGAAGGGTGGCTGTTTGGGGGTACCGAAGTGAATTGGGGGGCGATGATGGCTTTTGCGAGGCCATTCACAAGGATTTGTTGCGCAGACTGACGTTCATAATTTGCCTTCTTTTGATTCTGACCCTCAGACACCCTTTCTTTGCAGAAGCAATTACCAGAAACATTGACTCACTGTGACCATGGGTTGAAGGTTGGAGTTTCGAATAGACTTTGGATTTTGTCAAACCAACGTTTAGTTTTTGTTTTGTTACTGGCCTTCCTTGCACTGAACATGACCTTTTTCATTCTTCTCCGAGGTCCGAGTAATCTGACTAGATGATTATTCTAGGGAATCGAACAATCCCGAGAGAGCGCAATGATCAAAGAGCAGGTTATAGCAGGTCTATTCATTTTGCTCTTAGAGAGCCAAACCGCCAAACCCTGCATTGGCTAATTAGAATTAAAACATTTTGAGATGTAAATCAGCACTAAGACTATGTGCTGCTGTCCAGCGCCATCACATGGTTCAGCGCAATCTTTCTCAAGCAGCTTGAACTCGTCTGACACAAAAGCAACAGGTATCGGTCAACATTTATCTCCGAACCTAAACCACAGTATCATTGTACATCCCTGTTGTGGACTTCACCACATCGCTCCTTCGTGCAGACTCGGCAAGGATCCTTGCTCCCACAAAAGTCCTTCTGGTATTTGTCGTTCACCTGGGTAGCCTTCGACTCCGAGGGCTGTTGGGCTGTTGAGCTGTTGGGCAGGGGTTCTTGGGCTGTTGGGCTGTTGGGTTGGGCTGTTGGGCCAATCTGCAGTGCAATTCATAATCCGCAATTGTTCGACGTTCTTTTCTCGGCTCTTGGCCAGACTCACCTTCGATCTACAGAACCGGGTTGACGGAGAGCGCTCCTCTTTCTTTTTCTCGAGCTTCGTAGTATTTCATAACCCCCCAAAACACACACACACACACACACACGGTTTGCTGGAACTGATTCATTTATCTTCACAGTGTTCTTGAAGTCACCATTGAAGGACCACTCGCGAAAATCTGCTGAGGCTTTGGTTGGCAGCGCAATGTGGAAGTGCACACGGGCTTCTGCGTTGTTTGCACCGCCCAGATTTTTCTTCGGATAGCAACTTCATCAGCCACCGATG